CTCCAGCCAGACCGTAAGGGCTTGTCGCTGTCAGTCAAGCCCCAGCCTTCCCCGCCTCCCTCATTAAGAAGGTAAACAATGAAAAGCAGGAGCAGTAGATGATGAGGGAGATAGCAGGACAAACGAGGAGCGGGAGGAAAAGAGGACGCCGGCTCCAAAAAAAAAAAAACAAAAAAAAACCCACCAAAAAAAAACCCGCCGGGAGAAGCCATCGCCACCGGCCCGGCGGCGCCCTCCTCCTCCTCCTCTTCTTCCTCCTCCCCGGCCGCGCTTCCCGAAGGCGAAGGGGAGAGAGGGTGCAGTCCTTTGGGCTTTCTCCCCGCGCTCTCTATTGCCCTGGGCGATCATGTTAAAACTCACATGGCTGGTGCTTATTCAGATAACCCGAACAATGCTCACCACCGGTTACCATGTGAATCTTCACAAGTCCCGCAAGAATGCGGTGGTTCAAATCCCCCTGACCCCCCTCCAAAGCCAAATTTATTCAAGACAGCAAACTGCTCAGAAGCTTTATGAAAGCAAGTGGTGCTAGAGGGAATTCAGCCTTGTATTTACAAATTAAAAATTAGATGCATCATCATGCAATAAAGGTTGGAAAAGCAGCAGAAAGGCAGGAATGTGTAACCACTTTTATCGCGCCCTCGCCTTCTGCCTGGGCACACGGGCCCACGAGCGAGTTGCGGGTCCACACGCACGCAGGGAAAACCCACGCCGACACGTCTGTGCAGACACGCTCGGGAGAGGCGAACACGTACGGCGGCGCCTCGCAATCGGGGAGGGATTCGGTGCAGCGGCACCAGAGCCCTTCCCGGACCATCGGCCTGGCAGGGCACTGCCGAAACTTCCCAGGAGTTTTTCTTTCTCTCTTCCTCCTTTTTTCTTTCCCCTTTTCTCTTTCTTTTTCAAGTGTGTTGCTTCCCCCTCACCGTTGTTAAGGAAATAATTTTCCAGGTATACACAGATTAGAACTGAAGCTACCAGCCAAAATTACTGGTAATCTCAGCCATTTCTCTTGCGACAAAGCTGCTTTAATTTAGGTAGCAGCCTTTTAGGTGCTAATTTTCAACGCGGTCTCTCGATTTCCACCGCTGCTTGCCCTTTTGCTCCTTTTGGGGAAGGCTCCTTCAGTTCGACCCGTTTAAAACACACCGCTCTGCACCTCTGCAAGTCAGAGCGTCCCAAAACCGGAGGGTTTTGCCCACGTAAATAAAGCCCCTGCATGCGCAATGCAATCTCAGCGTGACAAAACCGTCTTGCGAAGGGCAACAGCGGTGAGCCGGGCAGAAAAGGAGGAGAGAGACACGGCAGAGAATTTCACGGGTGTTTGCTCCCCCCAGACATGGCCCCCAACTTTCGGGTTAACTTTCCCCCTGCTTCTGCTGATAGTTGTGCTGAGACTCGGGCTCCCCGGCACATCTGGGCATGTGAAGCTCTAGAAGAAAAGGGACCCGAAAAACCCCGTCTCTACCTGGACTCGATTTAATTATCTTGCAATTTTGACGGGTTTCACTGAGTTGAAAAGCTCTTATTTTTAAAGCCTTTTTCTTTTTTTTTTTAAATTTGCTTCACCCCCTACTTCTCTAGTTTCAGCAGCAATTTTAGCTTTCGAAACAGCAAAACATCAGTCAAAATATTTCGGTACAGGTTTTGCTCAGTCCTTCACTACTGTTTTTCCTCCGTTAAGTCCCTTTCTAAGAGCTATGGGTTTTGTTGCCCCATCTTGTAGCCTTGTGGGGTAAATAACGTCACATTACGACTTCATGGAACAAAACTGGGGTTTTTTTGTTTGTTTGTTTGTTTCTGTATTTGCTTATTGTTAGTGTTTGAAATACACCACGGGAAAACTTGCTGGCAGGAATATTCTCTTGCGTTTTTACTTTGTTTCCTAGAAAAGGAGTCTGACTTCCCCCCCCCCCCCA